ATCACCACCTTATTCTAATGACTGATTTTAACTCGTACGTTTCTTTGTTTAACACGGTTGTTTAGATGTGCTCTTTTCAGTGAAATGGGAGCGTGGCAATGATGACCAAGGTCAGTGCTGCCTGTGCTCGTGTGTTAATGAAACAAATAAGTGCCTCCCCCACCAGCAAAACAGCTACAGAGTCATGAAACATCCAAGATTGAGAGGGCGTACAGAACGCACGTAACTAAGGCAAGCGTCCTTCATAACACTGTTCCAGCAAGATTTGTTGTATTCGTCTCCCCGGTTTGTGTTGAAGTGAGCACCTGACAACAGTAAATGACTTGTGTATATTTATCTTGTTTTTGATCAGTTCACATCCCCAGTGCTTTCAACCATGCCTCTGATTTTCAAGCTACAGCTGGTAGATAGGAGTTTATCACTAGGGCGTTCCCGTGTAGAGAGTACAGACTACGGACGCCCATCAAAAGTAATTTCTGCGGCGTCAATGTGATTCACATCCCTAGTTCAGTCCATGCAAAGACATTAGTATATAAGTACAAGGTATTTAAACTTCAGTTCTAATACTAAGTTTGGAGCGTACTCGATAATCTTCTATTCAACCAATCGAAAATGATTATCTTATGTTTCAGTATACGGTTTTAAATAGCCCGAACAGTGTTTTCGCTGTCCCATCGGCTCTCGTTGGAGAAATGTGGTTCATTATCTTATCATTGATCCAGCGGTCTTATCCAATGATCATTTCGCGACAGAATTTTCCATAGATCAATTGAACGGGGTTTGCCGACCAAACCAGTGAAACGGTCTCGTACTAACACACCACACACTGTATCAACGCACCCGGGCGTGTATAATAGTGAAATTGGGTTAGTTTCAATGCGGCAAACATTTGCCGAAATTATTCTACGGAAATGCACTTAAATAAATGAAAATGGGAAACGTCGTCAATTTTAGTTTCCACAGTAAAGTGGCTTTGGGAATTTTGGGTGGACAAACGGGATGAACTCTATTGAGAATGAGGTGTTTGTTTGACATGCATTGAGAAGAAAAATGGGGGAGATATTGCACCTTGCAGAACACCAGGAGCAACTAGACAAGTGGAGGATTTTTTAAAAAGACCAGTGAAGCGAAGAACTCTTTTCGATCACTCATTCTCAAGCTTCCACATTAATATATGATCACAAGGTGGCAACAAAAGTCATGATAAAATAAACCAGGGCGGGGGAGAGTTGTGATCACTTGATTAAGCAGATTACGTAACACGGTCATTCAGTCATCGTTTGATTTTCTGAACAACGGTCAATTACGTCATGTTATCGGGTCACTATGTCACAATATGTCATCAATAAGTGAACAATGCGCATCTTATTAACACGGGGTATACGGTAGATGTTGAAAGGTAATTTAAGGTAATCTACAGAACCCCGATTAATTTGACCAAACAACTGCGGCAGATTATTCTTTGCACGGCCGAGACGGTAGCTATTCGTATTTACCACCCCGAACTGTGTAAACAAAAGCGGATTGTTCACATATTGAGTATGCCATGGCCCGACAATATGACGTAATTGACCGTTATTCAGAAAATCAAACGATGACTGAATGACCGTGTTACGTAATCTGCTTAATCAAGTGATCACAACTCTCCCCCGTCCTGGTTTATTTTATCATGACTTTTGTTGCCACCTTGTGATCATATATTAATGTGGAAGTTTGAGAATGAGTAATCGCTCCACTGGTCTTTTCAATGATCAAAGGGGATATTTCGAGAAATACGATTATCAGAGGATTTGTTGCGTAATCAAGAGTGATTCTACCGTCATAACATGTTTCTCGCATTCATTCAATTACATTGGTTCTATCGTTCAGTTCAATTCAGTTTGTACAACCATTAACCATGCACCATCGTGCGCCGGTTTTGGTTGCTATCTTTTGGCTGCTATTTAGATGAAGAATAGGAGAATGCAGGAAAGTTGAAAGTAGAGTCGAACAGAAAATGGAGAATTTCATTGTTCTAAGGTGGCAAAGAAATTGAGAAGATGCACGAGTGCCACTGTTTAGGACACTCAGCCATATCACTCAGTGTCTCTAACCATCGGTTACGATGATCCCGAGGTCCCCATCCATGGAGCCTAACGGGACCTATGTGAGCCAGTCCTCTGGTCAGGGTTTTCATACCCTCGTGCTAGGTCTTAGCTTGACCACCCACTACATACCTCGGCGAATATCGCCCGCCGTGGCAACTTATCTGGTGATATACGTAACACATGCCCCAACCAACGTAATCTATGGAGGTCGACCACTCGCTCCAATGGGCGATCGCGGATACCCAAAACTCTGCGCTTAACCTCAGCATTGCTCGTCCGGCTGCCCCACCAGATTCGTGCAATGCTGGGGTGTTCAAACACCGAAAGTTTATCTTTGTCCTGTTTCCTTAATGGTCAAGTATCTGCACCGTAGAGCAGGACTGGCCGAACTGTCGCGGCATACACACGACCCTTCACAGACAGCCGGATGTCACCACGGCGCCACAGCTGTCTCAAGTTAGCAAGTACCAACCGAGCCCTCTGTATGCGAGTTGACACTTATCCGTGATGCGTCCACCGGGTGAGATGTAGCTGCCCAAATAACAAAACTTATCCACCTGTTCCCGTGATGCGTCCACCGGGTGAGATGTAGCTGCCCAGATAACAAAACTTATCCACCTGCTTCATTACTTCCCCAGTGAGAGTGAGGCTGAGTGCTGGACCAACCCAGTCTTGAAGTAATATTCTACAATTTGAAGGTGCAAAACGCATACCGAACATGGCTACACTGTCACTCAAATTATCCAGAAAAGCTTGCCACCTAACTGCACTTCGCTTAGCAGTACAATGTCGTCTGCATATTCTGGATCAGACGGTCTGCCACCTGGAAGTAAATCGAGGTCGCTATCCTTGCACGAGGATAGGGCTGTTTCCATAATCAAATCTATAACAAAGTTGAGTAGAAAAAGAGAAAGAGGGCAACCCTGACGAACACCAGAAATTATTCGATGGATACTAAACACTTTTGATTACCTCCTTTGATTAAATACAAACGATAACGCATGTGGAATGGAATAAGTGAACGAGTATGAATCTTTGGTGATTCGAGTAATCATCCAAGGTAATTTGGTTAATTAGCTTATTTAAAAATAATTTTATTCACTGCGTAGGGCTTTTTTGTTTCTCTAAACATTCTTCCAAACTGTAAGGAACCTATTCATCTTTCACTGCTCTTTCCCGGAAAATTGCAAACAAGAATAATCTTTTAAAATTGTATCAAAAACAGTGGTAAGTCACATCCATGATGCATCTGAGTTCGCTCGTATTTTGCAGAACACTTAACTTGAAAGTGACGAGGTTGCGGTCAGTTTTGATGTGGTTTCTCTGTAGACAAGTTTTCCCATAAAGGAGAGTTTAGATTTTCTACATTATTTGCGGATATCTGATGTCACACTAGGAGAACAAACTTCTTTAACCCCATAAGAAATTATTACTGGTGTTGAAATGTCTAATGTCAACTTTATTTACTTTCAAACACGGTTTGTACGGACAAACCAATGGTGTTTCCATGGGATCTCCCATCTCTCCCATTGTAGCCAACCTCATTTTATATTCAATCGAATCAAATGCACTCTCCAGTTTTCATATGCCACCACGTTTGTACGTAAGATACGTAGACGATACTTTTGTCATCATTAAGTCACAACACACACGTGTTTCTGGACTGTCTCAACAAACAGTGCAGCTCCATCAATTTCACAATGGAGTCAGAGGATATAAACAGAGTCACCACTTTCCTAGACTGTTACCTCAGGGTGAACGACTCACGCAAATTCACCACCAGCGTTCACAGAAAACCGACACATTCGGATGAAATTTTACATTTTGAATCAGCTCATCCACAATGTGTAAAACAGACCCTTATCTCCTCTCTGGCTGACCGAATCTAAAAGCTCTGTAATGAAGATAATAACCGCCAAATGGAAATGAAACGTCTCAAAAAAGTGCTNTAAGATCCCAGTTGGAGGCCAACAAACCAATGACAGAAAAGACCGTGTAGCCTCTATTGGCATTCCATATAGATCAGGCACTTCAGAAGCAATCAGAAAGATTCTCGGCGATTTCAACATACAAACATTCTTTCGGGTTGACAACACTGAAACGCCATCTCGTGAAAGCCAAAGATCCGGTCGAATTGCAAAATAAAAACAAATGCATTTACAAAATCAGTTGTAAAGAATGCCCCGCAGAAAACATTGGACAAACCAGCAGACAACTCAAGACAAGAATAACCGAACACAAGAGAAAAGAAAAACATCGAACGACGGACCAGACAACTCTGGCAAAACTAGAACGAGACCCAGCGATCGCTCTTCACGCCATAGCCGAAGGTCACCCCATAGACTACGACAACCCTAAAATATTCCAAATCAAATTTCGAACATGCACTGAACGCTCGTATGCCGAAGCTTTGGCCATTAACAACCTCTCTGCATATGTGAACAGAAATGACGGAATCGATATCCCGAGCATTTGGACTACCCTAACATCCCTAACGCGCAATCACGACAAAGGTCACGGTGTCACTTGACCCCGTCTGATAATGGGAGTTAGTATGACGGACAACGAATCATTCAGTCCACCACACACACACACAGAGACACACGCACACACGATGAAATATCCGTTAACTTATGAGTCATTTGATTGATAAAAACTGCCTTCAGAAAGGTTAGCCACGGTAACCGAAACGTCGGCGAATATAATTCTCTACGATATCGCTGTGTTATTAACGCTATAACATTCACAATAAAACAACACATGGCGCATCGATTTTTCGATACACTCCTAACATCATTTGGTATCGATATGTTAAGAATGAATAGAATACAGAAAACTTACCGCCGTCCAGTGCCAGCTTTGACCGCATCTCGATTGAAGTTTGTTTGTGGTAGACTAAAGTCCTCCGCAAATCTACTCATCAGACTCGGGAATACGGCTTGTCTTTCGGCACGCTCCTCGTCCTCAAACACATTGCCATACATGAAACCGTTCATCAGAGTAGAATGTGCATGTATGTCGATGAAAAAATTGACATCAACCTCCTGCGACGGGATAAACAGTTAGTATATAGCTACTTCGATCGCAATAATGGCAGTTCAGTTCAGTTCAGTTATTACAACCATTAGCCATGCACTTTTGTGCGCCGGTTTTGGTTGCCCATTTGGACAAAAAACAGAGTGAAGATTAGAATGTTGCCAGCAGATTCAAGCGGAAAATAGCCCATTTACATAGACTGACAACGACAGTAATAACAACCAGTCTTGGATTTAAGCGTCACAATTCCATTATATTCCTTTTAGTGAACCGAGGGTAATCAGTTAATAAAATGTAATAGGTTAATAGTATTTGCATAAGAAGGACCTCAATACTGGAGTGTTTACACGTCTCAGCAGTAATATTATGCACTATTTGAGGTTTAAAATAGGTGCAGAATAGACTTGAAGTATGGTGCAACTTGCTGGTTATATTAGGATAGCAACTCACACTTTTGAAAGGGCATCGAATCAATATACTATAGCAAACCTACTTATTCGATCCACCTGTCATTTTGATGTCCAAATCATTTGTTTAATGCATTCACCGTCTCGAAAGAAGCTTGAACGAACTATTTGTGACGGTTGTCTCAAAACCATGTGAGGGTATCAGTTGGGATTTCAGTTAGTCAATTCCGTAGTGCGGACAACACGGAACAAGCAAGTTGTGTCCATTTCATAGGTGTATTTCGCTGCAGTAGTTTCAGATGACCATTCATGATTGGCTACATCCAATCACGAAATAAGATAGCTTGTGATATAAGTTTAAAAATTGAACTTTACTTCCCAAACTATGTTTTCGATTAAGGTACAGAAGAACAGAACAGCAACACGTGCAGCCCGACAGCAGTGATTTGGTGCCCTTTTATTATTGATCACTTACTACTAGAGAGAAGGCAGTAGCCAGGGTGGAAATGGAAAAAATAATCAGAACGAAATATTTCAGTACAATAGTAATGTGCTTTACGGCAAAAAGAGATACATCCAATGGTCGGTAAACATACTATGAGCAGGGAGATGAAGAGGGAAAATACTCTAAATAAGTCCAGTTCGTTGATCATGGTTTTGAAGAGGTGGAGACTGTGGGTAGGCGAAGAAACGGACAAGGTTGATCTGAGGAAAAAGGAGGACTGGAAGCCAACTGTGAGAGACCTGGGAAATGTGTCTGGGCTCTGGATTGGCAAAGATATTCAGGAGGAGTGGATGAATAGGAGCTAAGCTAATTTGGGTAAAACTAAAAGTAATAGAAATGAAAGGGATGAAGAAGTAACCGTGAGACGGCGGGCAACTGATTGCGTGTTGGACGTTAAAGTGGAATTATTGATAATGCGAATTGCCATACATTGTAGAGGGTCAAGAGATATTCTAATTTATGAATGAAATATGTCAGAATGGGGCAAATTTGCGCTTTGAATAATAGAAGGTAGGTTGGAGAGAAGAACTGTTACGTATGCATTCGTCTATCAGTTCCCATTGATAGTCCAATCACGTGAAGCGGCTGTTCACGACAGATACTGACTAATACTCCTCCAATCCGTTTTGTCCATGCGCCAGCTTGACCTAATTGTCGGTCATCGTTTAATCGATTGATGTACTCGCACGATCATTTATTAAATCGTTAATCCGATTCCGATCCGAACACTGTCTTGTGTGTTCTGATTTCCTGAGCTAGGTTACAGGCCCTAACTTAGTTTGCACGGCGTCGCAGCTGGAATTCGGTTTTAAGAAAAACCACCTAGCACGGAATAAGAAACACAGCTTGCGCGCGGCACGCAAACCAAGTGATGAAATAAGTGGAGATTATAAACGGGAGGAGTTAAGAGGAAGATTCCGGAGAACGCATGAGTTTCTGAGATTGAGAGGGATGGAATCGAATCGAAGCCGAGGAATGCAAGTTGATGTTTGTGGGAGACAGGGTATGAGGGATGTCTTGGAACGACTGCGAAGAATACGTTTGTTGGAACCCCAAGCGTAGATGTGTACCAGGTCGGAAGTGAGAGATTTTATGAAGACAATGGTCGCGATCGATGTTGGTTGTAAGGTTCTTGATTAGGGTTAACGATGGAAGGCCTTGTTATTAAGCGGCAAGCAGATTACGAAAGGACGAGTGAACTACTCAGAGGATTAGGGTTTATCGGGTCAAGTACAATGTGGAATGATAAAATTCATTATATTAAGAAGAATCTCTGCGAAATAAAGAGAGATGGTGGAAACATCCGAAGTAAAGTAGTAGTCATTCCGAGAATAAGAGGACAGACAGAGGTAGAAGGTGAGTTGAGTGTAAACAAACCTAATGAACGGATGTAAGCACAAGGTTAAGAATGTGAGCACGATCACCAACATGACAGGTGCCGCGAAAAGGGATGTTGGTTAACCGGCTTAGGTTGTTGACCCCAGTACACGAATCCTCTTCGAATCCGATTGAAATCTTTGTTGTGGACATTGGAATCCACAACGATGGTAAACAGGCCGATGGGATCAATGTCCATCAAGTTTTCAATGCTTGAAGATAGATAACCGAAGATAACGGAGACACCATTGATAGAAGAAAGGTAGACTAAATAATATAGTGATTGAAAGAGGAGAGCCGGCTTCTCCGCCACGTCAGCTGAAAGTCTCGGATTTTGAAGTTGAGTCGATGGGGGAGGGGAAGTTGTGCCGACTGAGTGATTCTTGTAGGCGTAGACGCCGGCATTGAACCAAAACGGCGAGTGTAGGTAGTAGTTCGGATACTAACGGTGAGTAGTGTCCAAAGCAAAGATCAGGGTTTCGGAAAGAAATAGGGCAAGTGGAGGTGAGTATTGTTTGAAATAGTGCATGAAATCAATGTTCAACTGTTCAGACCACGAATCTTGATGAGCGACATACTTTTAAAGAATGAGTCGAGTGTGTGCACGTGAAATTTTGTGTGATTGTGCTATTAACTGAGTTTATAAGGGATCACCTGCAGTAGCAAATGCATACGGACCATGGTCGATATTTTCTTTTTTATGGTTCAGAATCCTCCTCCTCCTCGTTGTTGTGCATGCCGTTAACATCGGAGTGATTACCGTCATTTTCATGAACCAACATGCTCTAAACACTAACTACTTGACCTAAGGGTACATAAAATCTTAAGAAGAAATTTGGCTTATGACAAATACTTTTTCAGAAGACAAACAATACGAAGAACACGTTTTTTCATAACTTCGCATTCGGGTATTTACAGCTGTGTGTTTAAAGAAGATAAAAACGAACGAGATCTGTTCATTAGGCTAAATGGGCAAGAACAACATTGTCAAGGTCAAGGTCACTTATGGAAATTTCCGATAACCACTTCTCAAGAGCGATGTATCACGCCATGTTACGTCATCACTACGTCATCGAGGTAATGGTTCGGTTCGTCCCAAACGATGAGGCGGGACCAAAGAAACTCGAAAATGGCTGCCATTTTCTTCCGTCCGCTTAGTCATGGGTAGAGAATTTAGACTGCGTCTATTTCTACCATCCCCTAATGACTTTGAAGAACATACACTTGTTGTAGGGCCCTTCGTAGATGACGCTAAATGCATCGTTGTCCGTCGGGTGACCGGTATCAGTTAGGTGAACCACAATCACGCTGGTTATTGTTTTCCTACACCCTGTGCATAGCCAGTACTATGGTGTATTTAATTCACAAATGAAGACTTCATCAATTAAACCACTTACAGTTTTTATTTGGAGATTATCAATCTTAAAATCCCGAGGAATTAAAAACACGTTGTTATATTTGTCGTTAGTTTACTTTTCAAAAGAGTAGCATTTTTATCATTTTGTTTAGCACTATCAACGATACTTAAGCAGGAAGTCTCAGTCTGTAAACTGACTGTTGAAATTAATAATTATATGTCTTGAATACCACTTGCCCGGAAATGTATTAAGCCATTTGGTGTAGACAACGCTGTGTTTTGTATTTGTATTTTACTCGCCCCAAGGCAAATACTAAACGGCGACACAACTTACCGTGTCTTGATTCAGTTTCATCAGGAGCTGTTTGGTCGCATAGATTGTTGGATGAGCCCACTGAGATGGCTCTTGCCACTGTCTATTCAAATCGAATCCCATCAACGAACATCTGTGAGTATAACAGCGGATCATCAAGTTTATCAGCCTGTTTCGATTATTATTGTCAGCTGATGTAAAATATTAGTTAAGGGTAGATATGGAACAGTATTGGATACACTGTGGTTTGTTCAAAATAACGCGTCAGAAGCCAATTTATAAAAGCGAATGTTGCAAAGTAAGTTTTTTCTGAGCGGCCGATTTTCCTAAGCCTGAACACATCATTTTTAGCAGATGCTATATCGAAACAACATTTTCCCGTAATAAACTTTGAGAGAGAGAAAAGCAAATTTACGCTGCACAATTTGAATCCGGATATATTTTGCTGTAACTCACCACGTAGTGATTTGATATAATTTTAGTTTTTAATACTTCTAATCATGCACCTTCGCGTGCCAGTTTTGGTTGCTGTCTTTTGGATGCTCGCGGGATTAGAGAGCTGAGGAAAGAATGGAATGACGCGAACAGAATCAAAGAGAAGAAAGAAAATTCACAACGACTAAGGCTGCGAACATAATGAGCAGATGCACAAGTGCCACTGTCTACGACACTTAGCCATATCACTGTGTCTCTAAACACCGGTTACAGTGATCCCGAGGTCCCCATCCAGGAAGCCTAACGCGGTCTAGGTGATTAAGTCTCCTGGTTAGGGTTTTCATGCCCTCATACCAGGTCTGAGTTTGCCCACCCGGAATAGATAATATAAATGATCACAATAAATTAATCCTATCCGACAGAAAATCACGTTTATTGCATTTCCCTAAGGCAATTTCTACTCCAAAACGACAGTCCAGTTTCTTCAAGCAAAACGAGTTGTTGCCTCGGTGTTGCCTAGGTGAGAACTGTGAATTTATTAACGGTAATTTTATCAAATTGCTATGATCATTTGTATCATCTGTTGCAGGTACCTGATGAGATACAGTGAAATATATCCGGATAAAATGTAAATCTACTATGTCATCTCTTCCAATTCTACATCTTTATCATTATCAATTCTGGTGAAAAATGTTATTGTGATGGAAGGCAGTTCAAAGAGAGTCCTGGCTAGCGACCGGAGCAAGAATGGGGCCCATCTGACGGGACGCCTTCCTCGTGGATCGGACGCGACAGGAAGTCGGGAATCCCGTTATCCTTAC